ATCTATAAATTCAATGCAATTCCTATCAAAATACCAACAGCATTCTTCAATGAACTAGAGAAAATCATCCTAAAATTCATATGGAACCATAAAAGACCTCGAATAGCCAAAGCAATCCTAAGAAGAAAGAATAAAGTTGGGGGAATTATGCTTCCCAATTTCAAGCTCTACTACAAAGCCATAGTAATCATGACAATCTGGTATTGGCCAAGAACAGAACCATAGACCAATGGAACAGACAAGAGCCTTGATATAAACCCAACCATATATGGTCAATTAATACATCATAAAGGAGCATATAATGGGGAATATAATGGGGAAATGACAGCCTCTTCAACAGCTGCTGTTGGCAAAACTGGACAGCTACATGCAAGAGAATAAAACTGGATTACTGTTTAACCCCATACACAAAAGTAAACTCAAAATGGATTAAAGACTTGAATGTAAGTCATGAAACCATGAAACTCTAAGAAGAAAACATAGGCAAACATCTCCTGAATATAAGCATGAGCAACTTCTTCCTGAATGCATCTCCTCAAGCAAGGGAAACAAAAGCAAAAATGAACTCATGGGACTACATCAAACTAAAAAGTTTCTGTACGGCAAAGGACACTATCAACAGAACAAAAAGGCATCCTACAATATGGGAGAATATATTTGTAAATGACATATCGGACAAGGGATTAACATCCTAAATATATAAAGAACTTAGATGCCTCAACACCCAAAAAGCAAATAACCGTATTAAAAAATGGGCAGAGGATATGAAGAAACAGTTCTGCAGAGAAGAAATTCAGATGGCCAACAGACACATGAAAAGATGCTCCACATCGCTAATCATCAGGGAAATGCAAATTAAAACCACAATGAGATATCACCTCACACCAGTAAGGATGGTCAGTATCAAAAAGACTAAGAACAACAAATGCTGGCAAGGATGCGGAGAAAGGGGAACACCCCTACACTGCTGGTGGGAATGTAAGCTAGTTCAACCATTGCAGAAAACAATATGGAGGTTCCTCAAAAAACTAAAAATAGAAATAGCATTTGATCCGGAAATCCCTCTCCTTGGAATTTACCCAAAGAATACAACTTCTCAGATATATGCACCCCTTTGTTTATCACGGCACTTTTTACAATAGTCAAGATATGGAAGCAACCTAAGTGTCCATCAGCAGATGAGTGGATAAAGAAGATGTGGTACATATACACAATGGAATACTATTCAGCCATAAGAAGAAAACAAATCCTACCATTTGCAACAACATGGATGGAGCTGGAGGACATAATGATCAGTGAAATAAGCCAGGCGGAGAAAGACAAATGCCAAATGATTTCCCTCATTTGTGGAGTATAACAGTGAAGCAAAACTGAAGGAACAAATAGCACCAGACTCAGAGACTCCAAGAATGAACTAGTGGTTACGAAAAGGGAGTGGTGTGGGAGGGCAGTGGCGAAGGAAGGAGAAGGCGATTGAGGGGTATTATGTTCAGTCACATGGTGTGGGGGATCATGGGGAGAACAGTGTAGCAAAGAGAAGGCACATAGTGGATCTGTGGCATCTTACTACAATGATGAACAGTGACTGTATTGGGGTATGGGTAGGGACTTGATAATATGGTAACCACATTGTTTTATCATGTGAAATCTTTATAAGAGTGTATATCAATCATACCTTAATAAAAAAAAAAAAAGGAATCTTTCCCTTCAACACAGTGACATTTTGTTCATCTGCCACCACCAACTAGGGGCAAATAATTAACTGTTAGAAATCCAAGTTCTCATATGTAATTACAATATTTCTGCCATAAAGGAACTGATTAAAACACCAGATGAGACTATTCGAAAGCTTATTAAGTGGTGATATTTAATAACAGTGTCAGTGCACTTCTTATGGAAAATGCTATTATAAAGAATCCTGTTTCATAAAGTACAAGTAACCAATGAAATTTCAATGAATGTGTGCTAATTAAAAGAATTTAGTATCACACTTAGTCTTTAGATGTTCTTATCTACTGCCATACCATCATGACTATTTTGAAGTATCATTTTTAAACCAGGGCTTTCTGAGGATGGAGACTGGTTGAAAAGTGAAAAGTTGATTCTATCATAGCAAAAATACCTATCACAATTAAAACTAGTTTAACTGTTAAGATAACTAGAGGTAATAAACCATGTTTGTAATATGTAAGCTTAAATATGATGAAAATTATGTAATACACATAGCACAGATATAAGAATCAATTCAATGTAAAAATGGAAATGGATATTTTTAGAGGCATAGTAATACTGAAGTACATCAGAACATAAACATTTTTTCTTACACAGCAATGCTCTCTTAATTTAAATAAGTCAAAATTTTATATTACTGACTGAGTCATCAAGTCTCTAAGCTTGAAATATATTTACTCCAGAACTAAGTCCACAAAATTTTCATTTTTTATGACAAATTAGTTTCATTACAATTACTAAAAATATGCTTATAATTTTCAGTTATTTGTTCAGTGATTGAAAATGCCTTCATTATGTCCATGATTGTGGATTTATGAAGGCTAAAGTAACAAAGCAAAATAGTACTTAACGATCTGAATTCTACCTCTATTAAAAAAGAAGACACCCAATTTTCTGCCACAATAATGTATATTATACCAAAAAAGTGAGGGAGGTAAATCCCAAATTGTCCTCTCCTCAATTTATAATTTCAGAACTTCAGAAAGTCATATAAAAAGACTTTTACTTTTAATGTTGTAAATCTACCAAAATTTAATTACGAATTTACCAAAAATAAGACTTTGATTCCTAGAAGTTGGGCATAATATTGTCTGAAGAATCCTAAGATTTCAAAGAGAATTTATCCAAGAAAAATAATTTTGGAGATGTCTTCAAATAAGTTCTCAGACTGTTGAAAAAACTTAAAGTAATTGCATCAAAAGACAACTATTGTTAATAGAGACTGAGAACAGCTAAGCGTGATGAATTACATTAAAAGATGCAAATGATGCCTCAAATCCTTCTTAACTGTCCTAATCTTTAGTGTTTCTTCTAATTGCAATACTTTAAAAAAATCATTATAAATATTTAAGTTACAAGGAAATGGAGAAAAATTTCTTCAGCTATCTAAGCATTATACTTGAAATACATATATAATGAAAACAGGAGAAATCGTCTTCTAAAACCCAATTAGCACTTGAGTATTCTTTTGAGCCCAACTCTTAGAAGCCAATTTTTCAAGAACATTTAGTATATATAACTGAGAAGTAAAGGCATGAGATTAAATAAATCATGCATAATGCCAGATACGATGAAACTAACAACTCATTTGTGTATTTATTTAGCCACTGATAGGTGATCATTTAGATATATTGGAAAACTACTTTGGAAAATGCATATGGCCACTATATATACTTGAGAGTCATATATACAGTTTACCTATTACAATGTATACTTTTAAATAATCTTTATTGTAAGAGTAAGTACAACTAAGATGCATAGAACCTGGACTAACGTCAAAGAAATCCAAAACAATGAAAAAAAATCAGGTCTTATTTTTGCTTCCAATGCGAACTAACACGTGTACCAGAATTAATGGTAACCATTCTTCCAGAATCACATGAAAAATTTAGATGAATTCTTCATCTTGAATTTCATAACAAAGATGAATGTTGATTCTGTAGCTTTATTAAGTTATAATCAAATCAATGTTAGCTCAGTAATATCTGTTTATATCAGGTGGTTAAAACTGACTTCCAAAGAATCTAGTGTTCACTTTGATAGCAATCTTAAAATATCTTGTATGTTATAAAAATAAAATATTTTGATTTGTATATAAAATTTCTCCTTTGCAGAAATTTTTTTACAAAAAATCTTTTCCATTTAGTAAATGAAAGAAGTGTCAGAGAAGTTTCCTAAATCTTAAAGTAAGGCCCAAAGACATTCTTTGAGATATTTTTATCCTTTTTAAAATAATTCATTTTGCAAATCAGATTCATACAGTACACCTAAAATTGTCCATATTATATATCTGACCAAGAAAATAGTTTTTCTTTCATGCTAAAAGAACAAGCTCATCTTTAATACATATAAAAGTAACTATACGTAGGTTGTGCACTGTCTGAATTCCCTGTTTTTCAAAGTCTATAGTTTTTCCTGGACATCCTGTGATTAGGAAGGGACACTGATATTATTTTATCCAATGTTATTATGACTATTTTTAGTGAGGCTACTTTTGCTCATAATCTTCATACTTCCCATATATTTTTCTCTTCTTTTTAACTATGGTTCATAGTTGGAATGTCTGTTCTACTCTAATTTCCCCTTTACAATATCCAAATAATCTTTTAGTAATTGAGTTGAAAACAAAACCCCAAAGGGCATCTGGAACTATTTTTTTCTAAAATATCCCTTATCTCAACTTGTTACCTGCCTTCTTATTGTCAATCTGATTCTCTGCTTAACTGAAGAGAATTCTCTGCTTAATTCAATTATTTGAATTCTGGTTATGCCTTTTATTCTCCTATAATGAAAAGACCCATTGACCTTCTCACCCACAATAACTACTTACATATTGACCTCTAAATATTTTCCAAATACTTACATGTAAAGTAAAAAGACTTGCAAAATCTATGTACGGCCCACAAACACCTTTTTCTACCACTCCCCACACATTCTATAGCATAGAGCTGGTAGCTGTACAATAGGTACTCAATGAATACTTAGGAGATTTATTTATTCCATCCTGTTTTCAGGTGTCTTGTTAGTATAGTATTGTTCTTTAGGAGAGTTAATTCTTAAATTTAAAAAGGTCACTACACTCAAATCTATTAGAAAATCAAATAATGATTTAATATAATGTAAGTTTAAAATACAAATTCATAATTACATTCCTTTCTAAATTATGAGCATTACAGACATGAAAACCAACTATCTTTTATCCAGTGATAGACATTTTATAAGTGTCTCTACAATACTCTTAAGAAAATTGATTCCCAGGTGTTACTTACCTGAGGGATAACAATATCTGCTAATGCCTTTGAAAGCCTATATAATTCCATTGTGTTTTCTAATTTCAAGGAAACATTATGCTGGACATCATATTTTATACAGTCATATATGTCAGGGATTTTACTAATATCATATCTTCCATTCTTTGTTTTAAAGTCTTTCTCCAACTTGGACCATCTACGCAACATAAGCTCTAATGTTTCACTATGGTAAAGCTGAATATCTGAAACAACATAACACTTTTAGTATTTAAACTTAAAAAACTTAAAAATCATATTAAGAGAACATATTATAAAGTGGGTAATTTAGAAACTTTTTAAAATGTCAAAGACAAAATTGTTAAGAAACCAGGAAATGTTACCATAGTCATTAATTATTAAAAACCATATACTTCCGAGACTTGAATAAAGGTATAAATACATGGGTTAGGAACTGGGTATATAAATGACCTTTCCTTATTGTTACACACTTCAATAATAAGAAAAGAAAAACATCTATTATAACAAAACTCTTTAAGCTAATACATTTTTCAGTTCTGAATTTTAAATACTATTAGAGTCACATACTGTCACAGTAGAAAGTCTTCAGGAGGAAGGAACCTTAGAAATTAAACAGCTCAAAGGATCCATTTTTATCAGTTAAGAAATCCAAGATGCCAACGTTCCTCATATTACTAACCAAGCTAGTCTCAGATCACCTTCCTATTGATTGTTCCTTCTTATTATGCTGCCTATTTGCTGCCTAACTGTAAGGTACTGCTACATAATGAATGAAACAAGAATGTTTTTAAGCAATAATATTGTAGTATCTTAGTATGGTAGTAGTGGGTAACCCTACACTTACCATGGTGAGCACTTAGTAATATCTATAATTATCAAGTTACTATATTGCACAACTGAAACTAAATTAGTAATGTATAGCAACTGTATTCCAATAAATAAGACAAAAGAATGCTTTATTATTTCTTTTATGCTATCATGGGTAAAAGAACTATAACTTAGCTATTATTCTTTTGCTGGATATATAGTAACTCATACCTAGATATAATATGAGAGGCTTGCCTTTTATGATTGGTGCATCTTATTTTTAAATGTTTATAGTAATTGGATAGTAATTTTTACTTGTTTTATGCTCTAAGGAAAACATAATATTTACCTGATGATTTGGGTTCCTCCATTCTATGTCTTATTTGAGAAGTCAAACTTTGTATCAAAGAATAAACTTTGTCGCAGGTCTTCACAGGATTTTTAATTAAATGCATTGATTTGATAAGAGAAATGCTTCCAGATGGAGTAAGCTACAAATGAGTAAAGTATACATTTTATATCTGGTAATGCCCAATTGCTGAAGAGAACAATATAAAAAATTTTCCAGTAGCTGGAGAATAATTCCATACCATAACTTAAGATGACCCCCGAAATACAGTAATAAGATTGAGGAGGAAGTAAAACCTCAGAACTTCATGTCAAAAAAAAAAGTAAATGTTAGCTATCATTGGACTATCCAGAGAAAATTTAGCTGAAGTACTCTTACAGTGAGATTTTAATCTAGCTTATGACAAATGGCCAACTCATGTGCAAATATGGCTCTAACCATGTGATATATTATTTAACAGGTAATAACTCTAAGACTCTAATATTATGATCTTTTTCCAGATGAGTTACTTAACACAGGTTAAGCAACTTGCCCAACATCAAATCATGGGTATGTGAAGAGTGGGATAAAAGAGCAGGTTGTCTGTCAATGGATATGGAGAAAAGGGAACCCTCATGCCCTATTGGTGGGAGTGTAAATGGTGTAGCAGCTATGGAAAACACTGCAGAGGTTCCTCAAAAAATTAAAAATATAAAGACCACATGATCCAGCAATTCTACTTCCAAGTATCACCCAAGGAAAATGGAAACATTAACTTAAAAAGAAAATGGAAACATTAACTTAAAAAGATACACACACCCTTGTATTTATTGCAGCATTATTTATAATAGCTAAGATATGGGAGGAACCTAAATATACACTGATAGATGAAGAGATAAAGAAGATGTAATATATACACACAATGGAGTATTACTCAGCCATAGAAAAGAATGAAATCTTGCTCTTTGACAACATGGATAGATTTAGAGGGTCCATCCCATTATGTTAAGTGAAATAAGACAGAAAGACAAATACCATATGATTTCATGTATATGAAGAATCTAAAACAAAAAAACAAAATGAATAAAAAATAAAACTCAGAAATAGACTAAAAAATTTAAAGAACTGGTGGTTGCCAGAGGGGAGTGGGGTGGGAAGATAGGTGAAATTGGTGAAGAGAGTTAAGGGGTACAAATTTCCAGTTCTCAAATAAGTAAGGGGATGAAAAACAGCCTAGGGAATATAGCCAATAATACTCTAATAACTTTGTATGGTGACAGATAGTAACTACACTTATTGTGGTAAGCATTTTGTAATGCATGTAAATGTTTAATCATTCTTTATGCTGTACACCTGAAATTAATACGTCAACTACACTTTGATAAAAAAATGTTTTAAAAAGCAGTTGGTCTGGCTACAGAGCTGGTGCTCTTCACCACCATTTTGATGCCTTTGTGATGAGATTTTTCCATGTCAACAAAAGCCATTAATGACAAACTGGTTTCAAATTCCAGTTCTGACACTTAGCTTGGCAGGTTATTTAACCCCATCAAATAAAAAAAAGAGTGTAAAGTTGAATTCCACTTCTTGTTATGAACTAGGTAGTTTGGAACAATCTAACCACTGAAGATGAGTAAAAATCCTGGGAAAAGAATTTCTATACTTTTGCTTTCAACTATCTAAGAGATAATACAGTAAAGAATTATGGAACCAGGTCAGGGATCCTCACAATTAAGGCTTTTTTTGCTCTGGAGATGTCTATTCATCTTAAATAGACAGCAAGGAGTGGAAGAGAGCTTTAATAGCCTGATTAGGGTAAAGGGACAAAAGTGAATTCCAGGGTTCCTAAAGGTGGACCTCTAGTAAACTCTCTAGTTTTCAAAAAAGTGAGGGTGAATCAGAAGCAAACCAACCTACCAACAAAGTGTAGACCAGGTTCAAGTCAACTGTTGGCCCAGAAAGATCTGTTTTGAAACTGGGTTAAGGCAATCCTAGATTGCTATGCCCAGAGATGTATGGCAGGAACAAACAAAAAAACCTTACTGGAATATGATAATCTTAAACTCAATTTATTTCCACAAATAAATAAAATACCCACCCATAATTAAAGATATTCAGGCACACAACAAAGCAAGACACCATGAGTGCGAATCAGCAGAACAGAAACCAAAAACAAAACCAAAGTGATTCTGGGCATTAGAATGATCAAAAATTTTAAAATGGAGAAATTTCCTGTATTCAAAATAAAAATTGTAAACTCATCAAGGAACTGCAAACTTCTGAAAAATGGCAATGAATCATACATTAAAAAAGAAGCAAATAGAAATTCTAGTATTGAAAAATACACT